GATCGTCGATTCATATCTTTACCAAGTAACGTATCCTAATGAGTTTAGGTCCAAACGATCAACCTACGATATACGATTGCCAAAAATGAACTCAAGACATCTAATTTAGCCTAAGGATAATATCGACGGTCCCCTGGCCACGTGCCGCCACAGGTGGCGGTCGGCCGCCCTACTCGCCGGAAAATCCAACTATTTCAAAAAATTATCAAAATTTACAAGAATGAAGATCTCAATGAGTAGAGTAAACTTTATACATGTGGCCAAGTCCAATTTGGACGGGAAAAGCTCCAATTTTTCTCAAACCTGCTGAAACCCTAGAAAATGGTGTGCTTCAATTCGACCTCCATACTCACTCTGACACCTCAACAACTGCCTGGGATTTGTTCTTAGGTTCTAGAGGAGTGTTCTAGTGGTGGTAATTCAAGGAGATAGTTTCACGATTAATGGATTTCGAGCATGGGTCTCACGGCACCCCCATGGTTTATTTCAATGATTTACACCCAAATCCTTTCCAAATTTGGGTGGAAATGGATGAAGGGAGGTCAATGGATGATTTCCAGGTGAAGAATGGGTGACTTTCATCGGAAAAGTGATTGAATCTAACTGGAAATAGAACCGGATCGAAACCGATTTTTGTTCTGAGTGTACGGGTCAGCTAGGTTGGGTGCTCCACACCTCCTTCATTTCCCTCCTGGTTCTTCTCTCTCGTTCATCACTCTCACTCTCCTCCTTTCTTGATTGGGCAATGCCCATCTTCTTTCTCTCCCTCTCCACTTCCCTGCCATCAGGCAGCCTTCCTCCTTATTTTTCTCTTCTTTCTTTTCCTCTTTTTCCCCTTAATTTTTCTAACCCCCTCAATTAATAAAAATAACAATAACTATAAGAAAAGAATAGAATAAATAACAACCCTTACCAACGTATTTTTTAAATACGGTAAGGTAATAGTTCATATGCGTCATGAACTAGCGATCAACAAAAGTCAATACCCTCGCCTATAGGGTATTCTCGTGAATTCACGTTTTAAAATTTATAAAATCGTAAAATTTGGGACAGGGTGTCACATTAATGTCTTTATTTTAGATTATATTTTGTACAATTGATCTGAGATTATTTTTTTGATGGGTGAAACTTGGTTAGGTCAATTTCGAATAGAAAGAAATTGTGAAATGGGTTTATCATGTTTCCTTTATGTTGTAATGAGAATTTTCAAGTGCAAAATTTCGAGCCAATACATGGATGCCTTGTGAGTGAAACGACTCTAAAACAAACATGTAACCCTTATTTTTGTTGATATAATGATTTTGTTGCTCGAAAGTTTTCTATTGATTGAATAATTTATTTTTAAAAAAAACCTCAACTGACACACCCCGACCCGGAATGTCCACTAGGACTCCGAATCGAGCTGTGTTGGCCGACACCTGGAATGTGACGAAGCCATAAAGTGTGATGATGTGGAAAAATGTGAATAAATTTAAACCTGAGAGTGCATAAATATTAGAGTGCACCGGTGAACGGGAATGACCCCACTTCACACATGACGTTAGAGCATAAGCAAGTACAGAAGTGTGAATTAAGAGTCGTACCCTCGAAATAATCTCCAATACCAAGAATCGCCACGAATCTTCGAGGATAAAATAGCTCAGCTAATAAAACCTGGAGAGTTAAGACAAGACAAAGGTGACTGCCCTGTAAATAAAATTTTAATAGAAACCATATAAAACATTATAACCCCTCACTACAACACCTGTATAATTTCCAGAAAATATCATAAATATACCACAAGACGGCATTTCGTCAGCAATATCAAATAATCATGTGATTAATAACTCATACTAGTACGCAAGTCAGAGTCACCTATGGTGACCTGTACGACTTACCCATATCCCATCACATATACTAGTTCATCACATATTTCATCGCATATGCTAGCTTATCGCATATTCATCACATATGCTAGTTTATCACATATTCATCACATATGCTAGCTTATTAGTCGGAGTCACCTCTAGTGACCTGTACGACTTATCTGTATCTCCTCATATATCTCATTAATCATTGCTAGCATATAAGTTAGAGTCATTTATAGGGACTTGTAAGACTTTATTGATATCTCCTCATAAATCTCATTCATCATTGCTAGCATATAAGTCGGAGTCACTTATAGGGACCTGTGCAACTTTATTTATATCTCCTCATATATCTCATGAATAAGTCAGAGTCACTTATAGGGACCTGTACGACTTTATTTATACCTCCTCATATATTTCATCAATATACTAACCGCAGTCACCTCACGTGACATGTATGGCTCAATCAATATCTCATCAACATGCTAGCCAATTAATATCTCATTATTCATATCTCATCATATATCTCATCATTATACTAGCCGAAGTCACCTCACGTGACCTGTACGGCTGAGTCAATATCTCATCAACATGCTAGCCAATCAATATCTCATCATCCATATCTCATCACATATCTCATCAATATACTAGCCGGAATCACCTCACGTGACCTGTACGGCTGGATCAATATCTCATCAACATGCTAGCCAATCAATATCTCATCATCCATATCTCATCACATATCTCATCAGTATACTAGCCGGAGTCACCTCACGTGACCTGTACGGCTGGATCAATATCTCATTAACATACTAGCCAATCAATATCTCATCATCCATATCTCATCACATATCTCATCAATATACTCATTACCATCACTATCATCAACATGTACTCTCCTGAAGCTTACCTGGGCATCCGCATCATCATTTATTACTTCGAAGCATTCACAATAATTAGGTTCAGGTAATACATATATAAATATGTCATGTTGCAATCTAGAACTCAACTATAACATAGTATTTTCAAATATATATATATATATAACATGGCGTGAAATGTATAATCTGTAACGCCTTACTCCCAAACTACTTATTTTCGGAGATAATTATCAATGATAAGCCCAACTAGATACTAATTTAATTAACTATCATTACTTACGTTTCCTTACTTCAAATTCCTGATTCTTCATACATTGATTTATGACCAATATTTAACCACCAAATCATAAGGTTAAATTTTATATTTTCCACCAATGTCCCTCACATTACTCAATTCCCTAAACAAGGCTATTGTCTTAGTTATTTACTCTCATTTATTGTATGGCTGCATCTAACGTCTCATTAGACTGCCTACGTACCCTAAATAGGGATCAAACCATTCGTAGTTCACAATAATTAATTGTAGGTAACATGCATAATTCACTTTAGAAGCGTTTGTGGAACTATCAATTATATACCTATAATAAAAGGAAAAGATCCACTCACCTGGACTATACACTATGATTCTCTAGCACGTGCATCGAGGTGTCCCGAATGATTGGCGCCAGCTTAGAGTCCAAATGGTGGTCGGAGGTGGCCGGAAAATGGTCTGAAAGACGACTGTCCGCGGGAAAACTGGTAACTCGCCAGAATTTCTGGGCAACCTTTCAACGTCCATAACTTTGTCAATACTCAATGAAAACATGTGATTCAAAAACGAAAATCATAGTTCTCAATGAGACGAAGAGATTGGTACCTTACACGATGGCTATCTCAGCGTGATTTGGCCGAAAAAGTCTCAAAAGTGGTGGAGGTCGCTGGAAACTAGGCAAACTTTAAATCGTTATAACTTTCTCATTTCTCCATCAAATCACACGATCCAAACATGAAGATTCATCTACACAACATGAGGAATCGATTTATACCTGTGGCCAAGTCCAATCTAGCCAGGAAACACCTCAATTTCATGAAAATCCGCCGGAAACCTTATAAGGGTGTGCTTCAATTCTTCCTCCTCGACGTTCCGCCGCCCCTAAAACCTATTGGGCTTTGTTCAGGAGTTCAAGGGAAGTCTATTGGTAGTGATAATTGAATGAAATTGTTTCAGGTTTGGTGGATCTCGAGCAACCTTTCCTGCAGAACCCATGGTGGTTTTTCCACCAAACCTCAACCCAATTCCTTCTAATTTTGGGTGGAAATGGAAGAGGGGAGGTTATGAAAGAGGTTACATGTAATGGATGGGTGAATTTCGCCTGAAAATATGGTGGAAGTGGCCAAAATTTCACACCAGTTCGAAACCAGGTCTTGTCGTGTGTGTCCTCCACGGGAAGAGAATGCTAGGAGCTTCTCTTTTATTGGTCAAATGCTTAATTGGCCCACCAACAACAAAAAATCTAATTGGTTTCCATTCCCACATGGTGGGAGCTCTAATTAATTTAAAATTCTATAGTTTAGTAAGACGACTTCAAATGCCCGTCCGTAACTATACCGTTATAATCCGGACCCACAACCGACTTTCGCCTATGCATTCGTACCAACAAGCACTATACCAATACGCTAAAAGAATAAGTCATACGTTCCTCTAGACGATGGTCAATAGAAGTCAAAGTCCTTGCCTCCAGGACATTTTCGTCAATTCACACTTAAAATTTATAAATTGTAAAATTTGGGACGGATGGTCACATCAACACCCAGGGTTTGAATTAGATTTGTCAAAAACGGAATTGAGATTAGTTTAGTGTGTAGGCTAGACATAAATAAATGTGTAAAAAATAAAATATCTTAAATACCCTTGAATTTAACAGTTCTTTAATAGAATGGTGTTAAGTGAGGCCAAAAGAGTTAAAAATGTCAATTTCAGGGGACCAAAGTGAGATAAAACCAATTTTGAAAGTAAACTGAGATTAAATAGCAATTTCATGAAGCATTCCAAAGAATAAGCCTTTTGAAAGTAATGAACTTACTAACCAACCTATATGATTTTTATTTTTTTTCCCTTGAAATTCTAATAGAAGAAAGACAATTCCTTTATTCGTTAAACTATAAAATAACTAGTGTGTTAATTAGAGCTGGTCCTAAAAAATCAAAGGAGCGGAAAACCGCGCGTGCGTAACGACTCAAAACGTCAAACTGCCTTCCTCTTCTTTCTCAAACCCAAAATGTAAAAAATAAAAAAAAATAAAAAAATAAAAAAATAAAAAAAAGAGGGAAATATCTCCCTCCGGTTCTCTCTCTTCCCTCGCCTTCTCTCTCTCTCTGGAATTGCCTCCGACAGAAGCTCTGAAACAGCTTCCCCAAAAGCCCTAATCTCACAATGCGTGTTCTTCTTCCATAAGAATCTAATCCCTCTTTATTTATCCTTTAATTTTTTGATTTTTACATTTTTTTTTTGGTGAATTTCGAGCTCCTTTTTTCGGGTATAAGGCGATGGTTGAGGGGTTTCTCTGGGAGAAATTCACAGAGCTATGTCGTATAGCACGCTGAGGATTGACGATGATGATTTTGTCCCTGTCCGGCAGCCGTCGATCGAACGGCATCGCCGCTCCAATTCTCTGCCGTTTGTGCCGTTGCTGCTCGTCGATGGCTTTTCCCGCAAGAGCTTCTCCTACTCCGCGCTTCCTCAGGAGCCACTCCGGCTCTCCGTTATGAAATTGGACGGCTCTTGCTTCGGTATACTCTCTCTTTCCTCTTGTTTCTAAATTTCGAAGGTGCATTGTTGCTGGTTGTTTGGCTGCCGAGAAAATGTTGGAAAATGGACTCAAATTTGTAATTTTTTCCTTCTTTTGAGTTACAATTTAATTTTAATCCTAATGGTGTAGAAATCTTCGGTGTTTAAATTTGTAATCGTTTTTCTTTTACGATGCCATTTCGATCTCGGGGAAGATATAGTAATTTTCATGCTGGTGTTGCGTTAGTAGTTTCTAATTTCATTTTGAAGGCATCTCTGTTATTGTCTTTCTAGGTTGTTAATCTCATTGCTGCGTGTTTGGTTGCTCAGAAAATTGTGGGAATGTTGGAGGTCAACCTTGTGTACCTTGTTAGTTAGGTTTTTTCCGTTTTGATAAACAATTTTGCGCACATTTCAGGGTTAATGTCTGACTGATTTGTTTTGATTTCCATTACCTAATTCATATCTGCAGTTGTAGACATTTTCCGCAATGAAATCTACGGTTTTTCAATTTTCTTAGGATTTGATTTAGTTGTCATGATCATATTCCCAGAAATGTATTTTGCAGTTTGCTGTCTTAATAGCCCTCCACTTTGTTTGGTGAGAATAGTTATCCAAATTAATCCTTAATACAGCTGACTTTCTCTCTTTCTCTCGGTCTTTTTTGCCCTCTTTTAGCATTTGAAGTTATTATTTTTTTAACTGAGAAGTTACCCGTCTAAAAATGTTCATTTATTTATATTTTTTGTTGAGGATTGCAAGAATCAAGATGTTTATCTGATGAGCTGCATGAACTAAGATGTTCGCTTTCACAGATATTCAAGTTGCTATGACGGCCACGGTTTTAGAATTGAAGCAGGCAGTTGAGGCCGTTTTCAGTCACATGCCACAGAAGGGACCGGGAAAAATTTCATGGTATGTTCACATCATCCATTGAAATATTTTGGATTAGAAGCAAACTCATATAATCACATAAATTGAACTTCTTTGCATTCAGATATTTTTTTTCTTTAGACTGTATTAAACAGTTGTTCATTTTCCATGGAAACTTCCTTTTTATACTCTTGAGTTGGAAAGTTCATTGCACTGCCGGATTCCTATGATTAACAATGTTCCTTGTTAAATTATGGATCGTGGAGGCCACACGTGTGGGGTCATTTCTGCTTGTGCTACGGTAATCAGAAGCTACTTGTTGAAACTGATCATATCAACCATTATGGGATCAAAGATGGTGATCAGGTATGGGGCAGATCCCTTGAGTTTTTGAAATTTTTCGTTTATCCAGTTGGCTACTATAAAGCTGGTGTGGTGTCCTTCAAACTGGTGTTGTTTGGTAAGTGCAGCTGCATTTTGTCCGGCATGTTTCAATCAGCTACAGCATGACAAAGAGGCAATCGTCAAAGAAAGGGTTCCTCGCTTTAAAACAAAACACAATGTGAGGCTCTCCCTATTGCCATTTCTCTTTTATAAGAATTTTTAGCGCAAAAGCATGAAAATACCGCAGTTCCCTACTATAATAAGCCCCACTTAATCGCTTTTCTTAACTGGACTTTTATCTCTTCAGTCATGCTGTGTACTAATCAATTTGATATGTGCAGGTCAGTGTCGCGATCAATGAGCTTTCAAGAGGAAGGGCAGACTGACATACAGGAAGAAGGGAATGGCAAAGAGGTAGAACAAAACGACGAGGTATATTATGATTCTGATGACATCGAGAATCCAAAGTCCCCACTCTGTGATGACGAAGTTTCTATTGACCACAATGGGAGCAGGCTGCCTTTCTTATTAGGAGAATGGTTTCCATACTCCAAACTGTCAGCTGTAGGAACATCGTCTCCAAGAACTTGCGCGCCAAGCATAGCTAGTGGCTTACTGGTTGGGTTTAGGAAGATATTCGGGCTTTGTTTCGAAAAACGTGATAAACGGCACAGTCGAAGGGATACTTGGAGAATAGATTAGTGCATCTTCAAGAACGCTATAGTGATGGATTTCTGTTCCTTCTGGCCTAAATTGATTAGAAAATATCATAAATTTACATTTGGCCTTACACTCTACAGTCATTTGCCCACTTTTAAATCTGTTTTTCTACTTGTTCCTCCCATTCGCAACACCTGAAAATTGTAGTTGTAAAGATCTTGGTGTCTCGGTAAGTCAATGGACGTGAGGGAGGGTTTTTCTTTTCCGAGCTTCATGACGAGAGAAACTTACTTGCACTAGAGATACCACAGTGACGCAATCTAAAAACAATCACGCATTACTATGTGTTTTTATTTTTACCCACATAAATATGATATGATTTAAAATGTTGCCACCGTGATATTTCAAGTACATGTAAGTTATTCTCCACAGGAACTCCAATATTTCTTTTACTTTTTGGAATTCAAATTTTACTTGGACTCGTTTTTTTTTTTTTTTTTTTTTTTGTCAAACGATAAATTTCTTAAATTTGATGTTAGATTAGGGAGCCAACATAGATCGAATCCATGTCGTGATGCAAGAACAACGCTCCTCTTCGCTACTATGGTAGAGGACCATTGGCGCTCTAGACTAGGTTTGAATACGTTTGTGTCCAAGGTGCCAAATTTGTGGGCCCTCAGGTGGGACAGCAACAGTCCCACTCATCACCCACTACAAACTCCTTCAACTCTTGAATCCATAAGGCCATTTCTAACCGAATGGTCTAGAGGGCCAAATGGCTGAAAATAACCTGAAAACCATCTCCAACCGATGGCTAGACCAAAGGGCTCGTGGGCCCCACGGGACAAAAAGGGCCAAAGGGCCAACCGGCTAGCTCAACCTAGCCAGCTAGCCAGCCTCGGGCCGAATTTTGAATGCAATGGTAACATGCTGACGTCAGCTAGCCATTATATTTGATATTTTTTTTTAGGGCCAAATTTTTTTTAAAAATATTTAATTATAGGTCAAGAAAGATGATTTGTTCAATGTTGGGGTGTTCCTTTTATAGGCATGTTTGCTTGCTCATTAATCTCCCACGGCTGATGTGGGAAAAATATAGTGGGTGCCCCAAGTATAAGTTTTTGCTTGCTCAATTATCTCCCACGACCAATGTGGAACAAATATAATGGGTACCCCAAATATAAGCTTTGTATAAGAGATGGTAAATGTGCATTTATATATGTAACTATACAAATAACATTGTGTCTTGACCAATTGGATTGCTGGTGCACGTCATTCTGCTTTGCAGCAACTAGTTTCATTTGCCCAATTGTAGACTAGTATTGCAAGTAGTGGATAGGTCAAGATGTTTTTCTCTATCACTCATTTCGTCAATGCGTCCCAAAAGCAAAGATGTACCGCCATAGATTTCGACATTTTCGTAGCCCAAAATGGAACAGGGTTATACAAGAGCAATATGTACCTTTGGGTTTTATCTTTGCAACTGATTTGTTGGGACTTTCTCGAGTACTTCCGGATATCGAATATTTTGGATATCTTAACTATTAGATTTTTATTTAAAAATATAAAAATTAAGATTTAACAGTTAAAACAACTAGAACACCCGGTATTCCAGAGTACTCAAGAATTTTTGGATTTGCAATTTTACAAATGCCAAAGTGTGAATTTTCTTTGCACCCGAGGTCTTAATTTCTATTCACCCTCTCTCATTACCACTTTTATCAAGGAAAAATTAATCTAATAAAAAAAATCTTATTTGTCAAATAAATAAGGTAGAGAATGAGCTTAGATATATAAATGATGTGGTGACAAGTGGATGAACTGTCTAGGTGGATTTAACCCAGTACAAACTATGAACATTCCTTCGTTATAGCTTAAAGCAGTAACATTTGTGTTAATCAAATGGCAAGGTAAATGTGAAACTCAGTTGCATCAACAACAAACCTTGATTATCCTTAGCATCATCCATGTGTAATGTGACAAATTTAGCTAACAACATACAATTGTTTTGACAACTCGCACGACTAGGGAAATACTCTAAAATGGGACATAAATAGGACGAACTGGCCATGCACACCATGCACAAAACCAAAATTACTAAAATACCCACATATAAATGTGTTATTCCTTCCATATTTTGATTTCTCTCTCTCTCTCTACTCTCTCTCCCTTCCTCTCTCTTCACTCACTTTCTCTCTCTACTCTCTCTCCCTTCCTCATATCTTTGAGCTCCAATTTTGAAAAGATAGAAGTTCAAAGAGAGGCGAGAAGAGTGAGTTGGGCTTTGGGTTCACCTCATACCTCTGATTTCGAACAAAGGGATGCAAGAGAGAGGTGAGAAGAGTGAGCTGGGTTTTGTACCATATTTTCTGTTTTGGCAGAAAAGTTCCATTTTTTCCAGCGACTGAAGCTTTGGCAAGCATAGTAAGGTAGGTGTTTGGTTCCAAGTTCCTTCATCAATGATTTATGGAATAACTAGGTTGTTTGTAAGATGAATGAATACTTAGAAGTTAAATTAGGGTTTGTGCTTCATGTTGGCGCGTATGACTTGTGGAATAAATTTCAAGTTTTGACGTGCTACAAGACTGGGATGAAACAACTTCTGGTTCAAGTTTTCAATTGCAGAATTTTTGAAAATTTGTCCGTATTGCGCATATGGTGTGCATATGGTGTGCATGACCACATCTTAATATGAGAAGCGGGAATGTTCACTAGTTATGATGCACGTATGTTGTGCCCCTAAATCTAGTGAGTATGACCACAACCTAATTGGCATCGGCGAAAAACAAAATTAAGAAAAAAAACTTAGAGGACGTTAAGGGTCATGCATGTCCATGAAATAACGATAACGAGTATCATGTTTTCCATGTGCACAATTAAGGGGTGACTGATATATGTAACAAGACTTTTCAAATTGTCACTATAACCTTATATACATAACAATTATGGTTAATTGTATCCACTATACCAATATGTTGTTGTTAAAGTTTTTCTCGTTCTGTGCATATCATGTGCATGTACTGTACATATTATGTGCATGTGGTTGCATATAGTGTATTATGTGTAGATGGTGCGTATTTACATCTTTGATACCCTTCGTATTAACGTAGTTTACTACTTTTTCCTTTAATTCAGAGGCAGGCCCTGCAAATACGAAAAAACGAACGAGGTCGTGAAACAATTTCCTTTTATTCATTTGGGTTCTTTCATGCCTATTGAAACTGCAATTTTTTCAAATCGTTGAAATATTTGAACCCAATCAAATTTGATATGAAATTCAAATTAATGAATCTTCGGTTCTTCATATAAAGTTTAGGGTCGTTTATCTGATGCGTCATTTTTCTTATTTCAAAAAGAGAGCTGTGAGCTATGAGTTTTTAGGTAAATCTCATATCTGTGAGCATGACATGTGCATGTCCTATGCATGTCGTGTACATATAGTGTATGAGCAAGCTTAATACGAAGAGAGCGTACGAGTATGCGAAACATTTTGTCCATATTATTCTCTCTTCCTTCTTTCCACTCTGATTTCTCTATTTTGCCTCAATTTTTTCCTTCTTCCTCAATTTTTTCTTCTTCTCCAAAATGCAACTGACCTTTAATATGTTTTTTCATTTAATTGCAGTAAAAGCCAAACCCTATTTTAGTGCTTGTAAATTTGGATCGAGAGAGGGAGAAGACAGAAGAAATAAAAACTCACATATAAACCATAGAAATGATAAAAAAAAAAATCAAAAAATCAAAATTGAAGGATTTGGGCCTCCTTCAAGAAACACCAAATCAATCACTTCAACTACAAAAATCCATCAATCAAAAAGCAAAATTAAGCAAACCCAATTCACAAAACCTACGAATGAAAAGGTGAAAATCAAAGAAGATGAGTGGGTTAGAGAGAGAGCTCTTGTGCATATTTGAAATGTGAAGAGAGAGAGAGAGAGAGAGAGAGAGAGAGAGAGAGAGAGAGAGAGAGAGAGAGAGAAAGAGAGAGAGAGAGAGAGAGAGAGAGCTTGGATGAAGAATGAGAACTAGAATTTCTTGATAACCCATTTATATGGGAGGACAATTTGGTCATTTCAAGGTGTAGGAAAAATTATATTTCTGTTCGATTGTTATGCATGCTGTGTGCATATTCGAAATGTCCTATTTCTATCGCAAGATTAAGAAGTTGTTCTATTTCTGGGTATTTCCCTATATTTTATCAAGAAAGAGATTGATTAAAATTTGAAACCTCGAATAGAACTGTTTCCCATACAATCAAATTTAAAGACCTCCATAGACGAAAATGGTAAACAATACTCCAAAAAATATGGGTTCACTGTATGTCCAAAGTGATCTAAAGTGCCAGTCACAAAGTTTGCTTCCTTAAAGATATGGTTCCACCTAATGCAATGAAATTTAGAAGCCAGCCATCTAATATTATTCGCAATCGACGCAACCGACTTAAAATGCCAAGTAGTATCCCAAGCGCCTTGCACCGCTTGAATCACAAGCATGGAGTCCCCTTCCACCATTATGTTCTTGAAACCTTTGCGTATGGCGTATAAAAGCCTTCTTTTAAAGAAATGGCCTCCACAAGAGTGATAGCGGCGCCATCTAGATTAAAAGCACTTGCACTGAATGGTTGCCCCTCCTCGTTCTTTACAACAAAAGCAACAACCGCTTTTTCCAAATTGACATAACCATCAAAGTTTAATTTAATAAAAGAGGTATTCATCAATCCCCCCCTAAACTTGTGAACATTGACCAATTTCCCCCCTCAACTTTAATTTTAGCCAATTTCCCCCCTCAACTCTCATAATTAGTCAATTTGCCCCCTTCTGTTAAATTTTTTTAATTTTCCATCTATTCTTTTTTTTTTCTTTCAATCTTTCTAATAACTTCCAACAAAGTACTAAAATTAACATAAACTCACCTGCATAATATAGGGTAAAATGTACAAAAACATAATACAATTAGTATGTGATATGGGTTGATTATAAGAAAAAGTTATGAATCAGGTTTAAAGCATGTAGAAGAAGAAATAATAATCCTAAACTCATGGATCAGACCTATTTCAATAAAATTGTTATTCTTAATAAGGAGTCGAAAATTATGAATTGACTAGCCATTTTTGCACTAAAGCTCGATTCTCCGCAATTTACTTGAACTTAGCTTTCACTTTTATAAAGAAAATTGTATTCACATACAAAAATGTACACATCAATCATTTTCGTTATCAATTTTGTATAGTAAAAAATCAAATAAAATTACTCCATACTGATTTATTATGAATAATAATACTATCTATGATAAATTGTAAAATTCTAAATTTTAATCTATTTGTAATAGGATAAAG